ATTAGGATCATTAAAGAGTTAATAACAAAAATAATTTGAATATTATTAAATAAATAAATATTTTTAATTTTCAGTGCTAAAATTTATTTTAAGCAAATTTTTAATTTTTTACTTTTAGTTTTGGTTCCAATCATTGTAAAATTTATAAAAGCAAAATCAATAAAATCAAAATTATATTAAATAGAGCCTAAAAGCCTATATAACTTGTTAGAAACTTTGGGTAAAAATTATTAAGTAGAAAAATTTTACATTGAGAATATAAAAAAAAAAAATATGTGATTTAGATACAATGAGAAGTAATCCGCTTATTATTAATTAATTTCAAATTAAATAGAAGTCTTTTATTGAATAAATGTCACATGTTTAATTTTTTTGATGGTATGATAATCTAGACTCTATTTATGAGGAATTCATTATTAACCCACCCAAAATTCATATCGGTGTGCATGTAAAGGGTATAAAAAAATTGAATATGTATTCTTAAATACAATACTTGGATGTAATTGAAAACCAATTCATGGTGGCGGAAAATGTGAACAGGCAAAAAATGTGATGACCGCCGGTTTTTTTGAAAGTTAATGACGGTTTAAATGTCAATTTTTTAATCAATAATTATAAATAAAATTAAAATTTAAAATTAATTATGTGATATAAATTACGATTTATTTAAAATATTAAAAAATAAATTTATATTAATTAATAATTATTTTTTTATTTTTTAAGTCAATAATTTTATTTACATTAATTAATTTAATAATATATTTTAAACCACATCATTAATTTCAAAATTTTCGTCCCCCATGTCATTATTCTTTTGACGGATATACGGCTTGGTAATGACTCTTTTTTGGATTTATTCCCAAGGCTTTTTAAAGTGGGCATGAACAGGAAACTAACGGTGGCTGAGGCCGGCCGCAGGAACGGAAGTTCTTGGTCGTGGAATATCCAAATTAAAGGAGAGAACCGAAAGGCAGAGAAGCTGAAGAGCTGAGTTTAATGCAATCCATGCTGGGTGATGCACATATGGATGTAGCTGCTGACGATGAAAAACTCTGGCGATTTAACAGAAGCTCAGGGTACACTGTGGAAGGAAGCTTACAAGCACATGATGGACCATAGCTGCTGCTTGGATAATATGATTTGCAAAGTTATTTGGAGCAGACTTATTCCTTCGAAGGTTAGTATTCTGGTTTGGAGAACCATGTTAAACAAAATCCAAACTAAGGATAACTTGTTAAAAGAGGCCTATTGCATGTGGAAGCGGATATTATCAGGGAACCATCTGTTGCTAATAAGTTATAAACTCTCAAGCAAGATTCGGCAGAAATGCTGCAGCTGGTGGGGGATATGTTTTATTTGCCCTGGGACTGTTGATGACATGTGTTATCAGTTTGCGCATGGAACGTTTGGCCCTTACATTCTGGACAAGGAGCGTTAATTTTTCTCTGTGGTACTTTGGTCTATTCTGGACAGCACGAAATGGGATTGTCTTCAAACAAGAACAGTGGGGTGAAGGTAGAATATTTGATTTCATACAAGCTAAATCATATGTGTGGCTCAAAGGAAAAGCAGAAGATGTACAATTCACTTTTAGTGATTGGATTCAGTTCCCCCTGGCTTGTGTTGATGGGAGATAATGCTGTATTTATTGTATAGTGACTGTTCTTAAGGCTTTGTAATGAACATGTAATAACTTGAGGAATTCTACCTCTTTTAATAATATTTCATTTTCGCTGATAAAAAAAAAAGACTCTAAATAGAATAACTTTCTTATTTTTTTGTATTTTAAACACATGTTTTTATTATAATTTTTATTGTAAAATTTTCCATTTAAGAGAAATAATATAAGGATCATGGGCCTTTTTATTTACCTCAAGTAGTTGGGGAGACACCGTGAGGATTTTCTGCTCCTTGCTTGCGCGGCCGTTTTGTATGGTAATTGATACATCGCAACTTGTTTCAATTTCAGCTGACTGAGAAGCTTCGGCCATCCCCTGAAGAAAGAAAGGTATAGATTCAACCTCAATTAATTTCTTAATGGAATTACCCTTATACTACTAATTAATAAAATTATCTCTTTACTGTTTTTTTGTCTTAATAATTAATGTGCTTTGTTGATTAAGAAACTATATAAACATTTGATGATCGTATAGTAGAGACAACAATTGAAGTATTTGTTTAAGGAATATTGCAGAAGCTTACTTGTTGGAAGTTGGAAACGGGTGCTCAAAGACCGGACAGAATCTATGAAGGGCTTCTAGGCAAACATAAACAGGGGAGACGGGGTAAATGGAAAGAGATTGTGGGTGCCCAAATGTATAATCTCCTATATATAGAGCCTACGCTTGACATTTTTTAAAATGTCTTAATTGGAAACTTAAATTCCAATGTTAACAACCTCAAGTTAAAAATTTGGGTGGAGCAGAAAGGGGTTTAGAAAAGGAAACATGGTTTATTTATTACTGTAAACTCTGGGCTTGTTGTCTGGAGGTCAATTTTACTATAAAATCTTTTTATAAAAAAGTACTATTTATTATGTTTCAAAATAATTTTTATTTTTTGATTTTAAGTTTTTTAATTTTTTAATTTTAAATTTCTCTTAAATTAATTATTTTTATTTTTATTTTTTAAGTAAGCAAATATTGTTTTCCTTTAATTCTATTATTATACATTTACTTTTATTAATTAGAAATTAATACATATTAGTCTCGATTCTTAAAAATATTAAAATTCTAACCTACATTTGTAAACTGAAATTCAAATTCATAATTCAAAAATTCATTATTAAAATACATATAAATTTTAAGAAGCTTTTCTATATTTAAGGTCCTTTTGTTTTTATATGGACAATGATATATATACCCTATAAAGTTATACAATTTGTTACACATTGACAATCTTCATTACTTAATCTATTACACACTTCCCTCGTAACTCCCCAAACGCACCCATCCCTTTCTTTCTCTCTCTCCTTTCCTTTCTTCCCTCTCACTATTCTGGTCATGATTTTGCAGCCCATTAGACAAATAAAACAAGTCTGTTTTTGGGATGATATAGCAGAAAGTGGAGTACAAGTGACTGGAGTCAATCAGCAGAAAAGGGAAAAAAAAGGGGGAAATTTTTGCAGTTTTGGCATTATGTGCAGTTTTGCCCGTTTGTCCAATTTGCAAAAGTTCACCATTGGATTGAGTTGAAATTTTGTCTGGGTGTTCAAGAGGCATTAATCTACATTCTGAATGGTCACTTTTTTGTTTGGGTCTTTGTAGATTCTGATTTTGTACCCAAAACAATAGCTCATTTTTGGTGATATGTTTTTTCTTTTTCAATTTTGGTACTATGCATAGCTTTACTATTTTGTCCAACCTGCAAAAGCTCACCGTTGGATTGAGTTGAAATTTTGTTTGAGTGTTCAATAGACATTGATCTATATTTTGAACGGTCAGTTTTTGTTTGGAGGTTTGTAGGTTCTAATTTTGTGCCCATAACTGTAGCTCATTTTTGGTGATATGTTTTTCTGCAGTTTTGGTATTGTGCATAACTTTTCCATTTTTTCCAATCTGCAAAAGGTCACCGTTGGATTGAGCTAAAATTTTGTCTGAGTGTTCAAGAGACATTGATCTATATTTTGAATGGTTAGTTTTTCGTTTGGAATTTTGTAAGTTTTGATTTTGTACCTATAACAATAACTCATTTTTAGTGAACCATCAATGTGTAATGAATCAAGTAATAGAAACTGTCAATGTGTAATGGAGTTTATAATTTTGCAGGGTGTATGTGTCATTTCCCTTTTTGTATATTTAAGTCTTAAACTTATTTTTAAGTCAAGAAATTCATTTTTTGCTTATACATTTCAAATGGAATTTCTAGCTCCGTCCTAGGTCAAAAGGTCAAAACGTTTTAATTTTTCTTTTCTTGCAAATATATAATTGCATATATATAACAAATACTCCATCTCCTTGTCATATATATCATCATAATCAACTGTACAAAATAAAAGAAGCATTCCGTCTTAATTTTTAATTTCACAGTTTTGTTTAATTGATAAAATAACTTCTTAAAGTTGAAAAGCCCTACTACTTTTTTGAGAGTAAAGGTGCAAATAAGGATTTCAACTTTATATTTTTTTCTATTTAAGAATGTTAACTTTTTTAATTTCTAAATAAGGATGTTAACTTTCAATTTTTTCTAAATAAGGATGTCAACTTTCAACCTTTTCTATTTAAGGATGTCAACTTTCAATGTTAGCCATGTCAGCGTCACTATTCAAATAATCCTTAAATAAAAAAAGTTGAAAGTTGAAAGTTGACATCTTTAAATAAAAAAGGTTGAAAGTTGACATCCTTATTTAGAAAAAATTGAAAGTTGACATCCTTATTTAAAAATTGATAAAGTTAACATCCTTAAATAAAAAAAAGTGTAAAGTTAGAATCCTTATTTGCACCTTTACTCACTTTTTTGAAAAGTTAATTTCAGTTTTTAAATATTGAAAATTAATTAGAATTGCACTTTCAGAATGGAAGGAATTGTTAGCAGACATTTGATGGAAATCATTAGTTTTAATGGCAAAAATAATGAAAATCATTAATTTTAATGGTACATTAATGGAAACTATCAGTGTGTAACGGAGTGTGTAACTTTGGAGGATGTATATATTATTTCCCTTTGATATTACTATTTATCAACCGTAACTCTAAAAAATTAAGAGAAAAAACAAGCTAAACTATGTTATTTTAATAAAGTAACACAAAAAAAAAAAAAAAAACCAAAACAGTCTAATTTATGTTTTAAAAATATGTTATTTTTATCT